AGCGCACGTCGCCGGGATACATGGCCCAGACGAAACCGACGTTCTGCATCGTGGTCTCCAAGCGCTCCTGGCACTGCTTGGTCAGCCGGCGCAAGTACTCGGCGAGGTCGCCGAGGTCGACGCCGTGCAGGTGGCGCGGATAGCGGTCGTCGAATGGGACGGTGTACTGGCGGGGCACGCCGCAGTGGCCGTGGATGCGCGAGTAGGTGGCGAGGCCCTCGACGAGGAGCGCCACCGGGTGCTGCTTGGACGCGCCCTTGCGCAGCACCACGTTCATTCCGGCACCTCGAGAATGATTGGTCGTCAGGCAGCCAATCAAAACGACGAATCGCGCTCGTCGCTCGTGCTGCCACGTTGGATCTGAGCTATCACCGCCGAGAAAGTGCCATCGCGCGAGGACTTGTCGTCTTGGCGTTGTGGGGTCCATGCGTCGTCCGGTCTGTATGACAGTGCTCAATCAGCGGACGACCGCTGACGCTCGCCGTGTGTCGCCCGGCTCGAATCTGGTATCAGGTCGAGCACGTCGCGACGGAAAAATGCAGCGTACGCGCTGACACCGCTTGTCGGGCGAGCTACCGGGTCCAATGAGGTGGTTGGCAATCCTTCGGACGATTGCGCTTGACTGCGACCTGCCCGTGGGACGCGGCAAGAGGACGGAAAGAAGTCGACGTTGAAGTGCACATCGTGCGTTTGACGACGATCGTCTCGTCAGACACACCAGTCGGTCGAGTCGCGACTTGCTCCAGTCGCACGGGCGCGAACCGGACGAGGCTCCGTGCACTCGGAGCAACGTGCGTGGGGAGGCTGAGCGCCAACACGACACCATTGCTTCTGACATGGAAGCTTCACATCCTACGGGATGAGTGCAGATGCAATAGAGACGCCAGTAGCCATTTTCAAGGATAGTTAGGGGTTGCTTGAACTGCTATCTGGCGCATCACCACCGAACAAGTCGACGCCAACGATCTGGACTTGGCTTTGCACCCACGGTGGTGGCACGACGACGTGGGACCGGATCTTGGTGAGAATCGGACCGACGGGAAACGACCGCAGCGCGACGGGCCACCGCGCATCGTCGGCGCCCACGATGTAATCCCTCGGAATGTCGACGTGGCCTTCGTGGGCCTTGAACTGCGTGAGCGCGACCGCCCACATGGCCCAGTTAATGGAAACTTGCGCCGTGTCGTCGATCACGTGCGGTGCCTCGACTTCATCTGCCGCCACAGCAACCGTCTTGGCAGGTGCGACGTCAACGGCGGCGACCGACGGCGGCCGTGTGGCTTCCAACGTCGACTCGGTGGCGAGATCCCATTCGAATGCGAGCGCCTCGAGCTCCCGGCGCTGGACGTACGTTATGACCGCCGGCGGAACTCGCCGAAGCAGCGACACGATGAAGCCCAGAGGCATGCCGGTGGCTGCCGGCGGCCACTCGCCGGTAGTCGGCACAACATAGTCGCGGGGGACGCGCAGGTGGCCGTGGAGCGAGTAGAAGGTCGTGAGCGCCGCGACCTTGGTCGTCCACCGGTTGTCGACGTTGAGACAGAGTCGACGCAGCGTGTGCCGGTGCGCTGCCGTTGCAAAGTCTTCGTGGACCTCCAGCAGCGTCAAAATGTACCCGAGCGTCTCTCCGACGACGGACGTCGGCCACTCGGCCGTGAACTCAAAGGCGTCGGGCCAGCCACAGTCACGGTGCGTTGCGTGCCACTGTGTCAGTGTCGCCACGATATCGGACCAGCACTTGGCGACGACGGGATCCCACTCGAAACCAATAATGTCGTTGACTGTCGCGCGCTGGAGGGCCGAGAGAGACGCGTAGTCGCGTCGGAGGGTGGCGGCAAAGTCTCCGAGACGCAAGCCCCAGATCCGACGCGGCCACCGGGCATCGTTGCCAGGCACAACGAAATCATGGGCGACTGGCGACTTGCTTCCGCGCTTGTAGATCTTGAGACCGAGCACGTGCCGGTCAAACTCGGTTTCTTGCACTCGCGCGTCGACGAAGGTGTCGATGACCCTTGTTGTGGGCGGCGCATTCACGCCGTTGGCCGTCGCTTGCAAGCGAAGATAGTGCCCGAGGCGCAGGCCTCGCAACTTGGGTGGCCACGCCGTGTCGTCGGGCGGCACAGCGTAGCAGTCAGGGATGCTATTGTGGCCGTTGATGCTCGCAAACACAGCCTTGGCCCCGACGACGGTCGCCCACGACGCATGCGTGTTAAAGGCGAACCGAACGCTCTTGAGCTCGTTAAGCCGGTGCGACGGTAGCTGAATGTAGACGAGCCAGACGCGCATTGCGATTTCGCCCAGCGGAAGACCGTCGTAGTTGGCCGCCCACGGCGGCGTCGACTCGTCGGCCTTGCGCTTGCGGCTCGCGCGGATGACATAGTTGATGGGAACGTCGGCGGCGCCGTAGCGCTTGCAGTATATCTTGAACATGTCGAAGATGTCGGCCCAGACCGGCACGTCGCAAACGACGCCGAGGGAAAGGGCAGCGCGGAGCTGCGGCGTCGGGAGCATGTACGCATGCACATCAAGCGTGTGGGCCGCCTGGGCCAAGTCGAGACTCCACGCCTCTTTTTGGCCACGAGGCATCGTTCCTTGGCACTGCCCAGCACTCGGGCACATGCACGTGGCCGTGGAGCTCGCGGAATCGGGCGAGCGCGGCGAGGACGACAGACCAAGTGGTCATGACCCTGGC